CTAATTAAGTCACAGGCCCTAATTTAAGGAACTGATGGTACAAACAAGATCTTTAAATTGATAGCCATTTCCTCAAGTTTTTCTCTTCCTTAAATAGCAAAATTATGTAAAATAAATGTTCCTGGCTATTTTGGTAAATTATAAGATAGATATATACAGATGCCAAGCAATATGCACAAAAGAGCCAGGCTGTTTTGAAGCTCTCATATATTTAACATATGTCACTGCTATTTTCTTTTTCTTTCATAATACATTTTCTTCTTCATCGGGAAATCTTGGCTCATGTGCTAGATAAATACTTTTAGGAACCCAACTGATTCAAAATGCAGTCTGGCTTTCCGAATATAATTTAATGTCAAAGTTCTCTTTTTTCTTTTTGTCCATTTGTTTTGCTTTGATAGTGCTGTCACTTGAACACCAGGCTCTGCGCAAGCCCGGCAAGTGCTCTACCATTCAGCTATATACCCAGCCTTTTAAAATTGTTTAATTTTGTGACAGGGTCTTGCTAAGCTGCCCAGGATGAGCTTGAACTTGTGATCCTCCTGTCTCAGCCTCCCAGAGTGCTGGGATGACAGGCGTATCCCACACCCACCTTTTTTTTATTTCTGTTTTAACTCTGTGAGGCTGAGGCAGGAGAACTGCAAATTCAAGCCCAGCCTGAGCAACTTAGTGAGACTCTGTTTCTAAATTAAAAAGCTGGGATGCAGCTCAGGCTGAAGGCCCTGGGTTCAATGCCCAGTACCACCACTGAGAGACTGAGACAGACAGAGATATGTTGGGAGTTGGGAGAAATACACTGGGCCCAGTGAAAGGCTTATGATGGGGTGGGCTGGGGCTGTGACGTTCCAAGTGTGGAATAAGGAAAGGGTGCTGTGAAATGCGCCCCAGTTAGAGATCTACGCGTGAGTAGGGCTCTCTGACTCAAGAAGCAACTCTAAAATAAACGCCATAAATAGTCCCCCCCACTGTGGTAGTCACAGAAGATGGAAATATAGAGAATCAATAGGGGAAAGAAGGAAATGAATATTTACATACATCGCCAATTCATTTTTATGGACGAAGGGAAGCTCCGTAGATTTCTCTTGACTCTGAAGTCAACACCACAGGATGAATTCAGGGCCTGATGTCTTCTCGAATACTCCTTTAATCACATCTCCTCCTCAAGAAACATCCATGACTCCCTACTCCTTCTGTGACTGATACCAACCACTGCAATCCTTTTGGAAGGTCATTTGTGATATCTCCCAAAATTCTGCTCCCACCCAGAACTATTCTGCTGGCAACTTGTCATAGGGAGAGATGCAAGTAGGTGATGATTTGTGGTACACTGGCTGATACGGATTGAGATGGACTTGTCATGGGTCGCATCCGGAGTTCAGCACTTTACATGGATTTTTTTCTTTTCCTTTTTTTTTTTTTTTGGCACCGGGGATTGAACTTGGGTCCTTGTGCTTGTGAGGCAAGTGGCGGAACCACTGAGCTAAATCCCCGGCCCATTTTCCATGGATTATAACCCCATTTTACAGATGAGGACTTTTTGCTTGTTTGTTTGTTTTTATTGTTTTGGGGTGGTTTTTTTTTGGTACGGGGGATCAAACTTGGGTCCTTGTGCTTGTGAGGCAGGCGGCAGAATCACCGAGCTAAATCCCCGGCCCTTTATTATATTTCTTGAGGCAGGGTCTTGTCTTGTAGTACATGCTGGCTCATGGTGATTCTCCTGCCTCAGCCTCCCAAGTGCTAGGACTGCAGCTGTGTGTTACCTCGCCTGGCTAAGATGAGGACTCTTAAGCACAGAGAAGTCACCCAGAAATGGCTAAGCCAGCTTTGGCAAAGCCATCTGACTTCGGAGTACCCACTCCCAGCCATGCTGCCATGTCCTCTTCTGCTATTGGCCTGCTGTTTTCAGCTTTGCTTGTGATAATACAAACTAAGAACAATTCTCAGGAGAGAAGTGATTAGACAGACAATGGCCCATTCAAGTAGGAAAATGTAACACAGGGCCAGGGATTTAGCTCAGTAGTTACGCTGCCTGTCTTGCAAACACAAGGACCTGAGTTCGATCCCTGGTTCCAAAAAAATAAATAAGAAAATGTATCACAATATACAGTGTATCACAATTGCCAGAGTGTCCGTTGCAGATAGAGGGATAAGCAAAATGTGGTCTATCTATAGAATGGAGAATTATTCACCTTTTAAAAGGAAGAAATTCCAGGGGTAGGATGTACCTCAAAGGCAGGGCGCTTGGCTAGAAAGTACAAGGTCCATTCTACATTTTGAGAGTGACTTTGAACTTGTCATCCTCCTGCCTCAGCCTCTCCAATAGCTAGGACTGTGCCACTATGTATCTGTATACTTTTTTTTAAATTGGTACCGGAGTTCGAACTCTGGACCTTGCGCGTGCGAGGCAGGCAGTGGAACCACTGAGCTAAATCCCCAGCCCTATCTATATACTTTTTAATGCTTATTCCCTTCCCAGGAGACTATGAGCCCTGCAGGATGGAGTCTTTGGCACACCTCGAAATCCCAGCACCACCCACCCGTGTGTGGGCCTGGCACATGGCAGGTGCTCAACAAATGAACAAATGCATTCTACTAACATCATGGCCATAGTCAGAGTTGGTTTTTTACTGGGATTTTAATTTTCAGATGGCAAAATTCACATAATATAAAATTGATCATTTTAACTGTTTAAAAACATATGATTCAGTGGTATTTAATGCATTTACAATGTTGAGTCACTCCCCCTTCTGTCTAGTTCCACAACAGTGTCATCACCTCCCTAAAAACTGCCTGCACCTTTTAAGCAAGGAGCCCCCATTCCCAGGTAATCCCCAGGCCCTGGAACCACCAATCTTCTTTCTCTGTGGATTTGCCTGCTCTGGATGCTTCGTATACATGGAATCAGAACTGTGTGACCTCTTGCAACTGGCTTCTTAGACTCAGCATGTTTTTGGATCATCTGTTTTGCACCATGGATCGGTGGTTTGAGGACTTTTGTCTGTTTCCTTTCTGTGAGGTGCTACACCTGCTTGTACCAGCTCTAGAGAGCAGACTGGTTGTTAAATATACAGGATTTTGGGGAGCCTGTCATTTAACCATTGTAGTTTGAAACTGGCCATCATGGAAGATTTACCCCACAGATCCTGGCAGATGCTACAAATAAACATGGTGGGCACACTCTGACTTTAAAGTATCCTATAATTTCTATCGGGATCCCCTAAAAGCTGCTCCAGATAAACACACACTCTGTATCAAGTGCTTTTTTCTTTCTTTCTCCTTCTTCTCCTCCTTCCCCTCTTCCTTCTCCTTCTCATCCTCTATCTCCTCCTCCTCCTTCCGTGGGTGCGTGTGTGTGTGTGTGTGTGTGTGTGTGTGTGTGTGTGTGTGCGCGCGTGCATGTGTTTTGAGACAGGTTCTTGCTAGACTTGAACTTGCAATCTTCCTGCCTCAGCTTCCTGGAGCCCTGGTATTACAGGCATGTGGCAGTGGTGGGTCAAATGTGCCTGGCTCAAATGCTGCTCTTGGCAGGCAAATGGCTTGTAAGAGGTCCTCTGGGACCCACCTTCTAAGCATGTGTCCGGGTCTAGGGTGATTGATCTCTAAGACTTTGCTCCTAAGTGACACCTGCTTTCCAGCTGCAAGGGCGGCCCCAGCTTCAGAGAACAGGTTGAGTCCTGTGTCCTGGGCCTCTCAGATTGGGGGCTGGACTGCAGGCAGTCAACTGGGGGAGGGGGAAGGCTAGGCTCCTGGACAGGACGACTTCATGGTAGCGGAGGGGCAGCAGAACACTTTGTCTGACTCTGGCATAGGAAAGCGCCTCCCAGGCCAGCCAAGGTCAGCGGCATGAGAGGACTGGTAGAAATACAAATTTCCCATCTGCAGCGCAGACCTTGGGAGTCAGACTTCTTGGGGCCGGGGCCCGGCCGTCTGTGTTGTAACCTGCCCTGTGGGGTTCTGAGGCTCTGTTTGGAAGAGAACCCTGCAGTAGGTGGCATCCTGAAGCACCATCAGCCAGGCTGCCATCAAGCTGTGCCCATTGATTCCAGCTCTAGAACATACTGTTTTCCACATCTGGCAAGCCCACCCACATAGGCCAGCTCAGCTTGGGTCTCATATTTATTCCTCCAGACATAGGAATGCTTGGGAGAGGCATAGACTTGCTGCCCAGGGACTTGAACCAAGAGCTTTAATACCAAAGACAGCCAGGCTAAGCCTCAGCTCCACCAAGCTGTGTGATCTAGGGCAAGAGCCTTAACATCTTGGGGCATCTGATTTCTCCTCCATAAAACTGTATACTAATCAGACCTCCTTCCTAGGTTGGTTGTCAAGGTAATGGGAGATCTCATATATTAGCAGTAAACCCTTAAATTAGATGGTTTTCAACAAAGACACCAAGATCATTCAATGGGAAAGGACAGTCTTTTCAATAAATGATACTAGAAACAATTAATAGCCACACGCAGAAGAATGAAATTGACTCTTGGCATATACTTTATAAAAAAAGTCAACCCAAAATGCAAGACCTAAACTTAAAAAAAAAACTTTTAGAAGAAAATACAGTAATGCCTCAGTTCACGAGCGCTTCTGTTTACAAACAATTCAGTTCTCAAACAAAGGTGTTCGACAAAATTTTGCTTCACAAACACAACTACGGCCATCTTCCCCACACAAACATAAATGGAGCCATCTTTCCCCAAATCGTAAAACAAACTGAGCTCATGAACAAAGTACCACTGTATAGGGGGAAAGCTTTGTGACATTGGATTTGAGAATGATTAATTTGAATATGATGACAAAAGCGCAGATAATAGGACTGGAGATGTAGCTCAGTGGTTGAGCACTTGCCTAGCATATGTTCATTCTCCAGCCCAACTGAATGGAAATGCTGGTTCCCAGCTATTCAACTCTCTATGAAAAAAGCATTCATCTGTCTTGGGTACAAGAGCTATGCAGCAAGGCCCTGAGCCAGTCATCTTGATCAGATTTGCTCTTTTCTCTAGGGTGGTGAAATTCCGTCGCACAGGTGAGAGTGCAAGGTCTGAGGACGACACAGCTTCGGGAGAGCATGAGGTCCAGATCGAAGGGGTCCGAGTGGGCCTAGAAGCTGTTGAGCTGGACGATGGAGCAGCTGTGCCCAAGGAATTTGCCAATCCCACTGATGGTGAGAGAGCCCTGTGGCTGAGGCATGAGCCTGGGCCCCGGTCAGGGACCCTGAGCTGCCAGGGTTGCCTCCCCAGGCAACACTCTCAAAAGCTCTCATGAAGGACCAGCGGGAGGGGCAGAAGTGAGGTGGAAGTGTGGGCTGGGGCTACGTGGCTCACTTCAGCAGGCAAGGTGACCTCACAACCACTGGCAGTCAGCATGATGGTGTGACACTTGTCCAAGGGCAGTGACAATGATGATGGGTGGTGATGCTGGTGATGCTGGTGATGGTGATGTGGTGCTGAGGATCGTGAGAGTGGTAATGGTGGTTAGATGACGATGGTGGTGATGGCAGTGAAGGCAACAGCAGTGCACTGATGATGGCAGGGATGATTTTGGTTATAATGATTGATAGGGGAGATGCTGATGATGACAGCATACGGGAGCAGCTGACCCTGGCTGAGAATTTGCTCTGTGCCAGCCTCTGTTCTAAGCATGCTACATGTATTACCCATTTAATCCTCATACCGGTTCCGAATGGCACTATAAACCTCATTTCCCCCATTTTGCATATGCGGAAACTGCAGCACACTGCTACTATGCCAAACACCAGATCACACTTTAGAGAAAATTATGATTGTCTCAAGAGGCTCCTGGTTGAAATTTCAAAATGATGATGGCTCCTAGCAGGGACTGATGAGATCTCCAGAGGCTGCCCTTGGAAGGGCCATCCAATATCCTCCTTTAGTATTTTTATTTTTTAATTAACTTTTTATTTTGGAATCATTTTAGATTTACAAAAAGATGTGTTAGTCAACTTCCAGTTACTGTAACAAAATAAGTGAGACAATAAACTTAAAAAGAGGAAAGATTTGTTTTTGGCTCACAGTTCCAGAAGTTGCAGTCCATGATCATTTGGCTCCCTCATTTTAGGCACATCAGGAAGGAGCACATGGCAGAAAACGCTATTCACCTCTTGGCAGCTGGGATGGGAAATAAAAAGAGGAGAGGGGGTCAGGTCTCAGTATTCCCTTCAAGGGACCAGGAATTTAGCTCAGTGGTTCCAGCACCTGCCTCAAAAGCTAAAGGTCCCAAGTTCAATACCAAAAACAAACAAACAAACAAATATTCCCTTCAAGGTCATGCCCCCAATAATCTACTGAGGGCTGATCAGACCCTCAGCTACTTTTATTTCTCTACAAGGAATAAAAGAAAGAGACAGAGACAATTTTCAAGATATAAAGGGGAGCCGGGGATTTAGCTCAGCGGTTTTGCTGCCTGCTGTGCAAGTGCAGTGACCAGAGTTCAATCCCCAGTACTAAGATATAAAGGGGAAACTGGGAGAAGACCTGCCTCTAGCAGACAGACTTGAATAAAACTGCATGGTTGGCCCACTTTTACTAGCCAGTGAAAAGCACGGGAGGAGGGGTAGCATGCATTTCATGGAATAGCAACTATAGAGAATGGGTGGATAAGGATTAAATTAATGAGGAACCAGATTTTCTCTATACCCAAATGCCTGTATATCGACAACTGTCCTCAGCAGATGCTACCCAGAGTGCAGTGCCAGCTTATCCATTTCCACCCATAGCCATAGGGCATGTGGCCTTCCGCATACTTCCATGTTATGAGGCAAAATAACACTGACCTGGATGGAGAGACTGAGATCTGAGCTCAACTACTGTTGAGCTCAACTATATTCCTCAACAATAACCTAACTTTCTTCAATCTTTAAGAAGTTGTATACCTTTCGAGAGAGCTACAGTGAGGGACCACGCCTTTAACATGCAGGCCTTTGGGAGAGATTTCAGATTCAAAGTATAGCAGAATACAAGAAGGTTCCCATATACCCTTTACTCAGTCTCCCCCAAGGTAAACATTTCACCTAAACAAGGTGCATTTGTCAAAACTAAGAAGTTAACATCATGCACAGATATACACTGAGACCCACACTCAGATTCAATTCAGATGTCACCAGCTCTTCCACACATACTGTTCCAGGATGCCATCCTGCGTGCCATGTGACATTTGGTCTTTATGTATTTGCCAAAATACTTATTAGCTTATAAATTGTACTTTGATTTTTCTGAGCACAAAAATAGCATATTTTTGGCAAGCATTCAGACATTATAGAAATGTCCAAAGTAGAAAAGTGAGTGCTATTCTCACAGATGACTCTGTTAGCAGTTTGTAAGACATTCATTCTATCTTTCTACATGTATAGCATGAATGCACACACGCACTGATATCTAATTTTATTACAGAGACCACTCTTCGGATACATACCTCTCCACGACTTGCATTTTCCACTTAACAATACAATGTGGACCTCTTTCTGTCTCAATGCGCATGGAATTCTGCTTTTAAAAAAAAGCATTTGGACTGGGGACGTAGCTCAGTGGTAGAGTGCTAGCCTAGCATACACAAGACCCCAGCATAGTAAAAACAAAACACAAAACAAAACTTTAAAAAGCATGTATTTCTTCCTGACTATAGAAGTAATAATTTTTAAAGGAAAAAAGGTAAAACTTCATGTGATCCCTCCCCTCTCCCATCCAAAGGCAATAAAAATAAAACTATAATTTAAAGTCTTATATATTCTATGTATATGCATATATAACCACATAAAGGCATACATTTCCAAGACCAAAACCATAGTATTTTGTTATCCATCTTATTTTGTTTTTAAAATTAGTCTATTATGTGCGTCTTTCTATAACTGCATATTCTTTTTGTTTGTTTGTTTGTTTTTTGGTACCAGGGATCCAACTCAGACCTTGCACTTACGAGGCAGGCGGCAGAACCACTGAGCTAAATCCCCGGCTGCATATTCTTTTTAATAGTTGTGTCATATTGTATAATGGTAGACATCTTGTGTTTTCCAGTTGTCTTAGTCGCTTTCCTCATCACTGAGACACAGTATCTGATACCCATGGCTTAAAGGAGGAGAGGTTTATTCGGCTCACCGTTTTTAGAGGTTTCAGTCTATAGTTGGCTGGCTCCAAGGCAGCGTGGCATGGCAGAGGGTCCTGGCATGCTCATGTCATGGTGCAGGGAAGCCGAGAGTGGAGAGGAAGGAGGAAGGCCTTCCAGGCCACGCCCCCTAGTGACCCGCTTGCTCCTACTAGGTTCCACCTCCCAACATCACATCTAGCCATAAACCCATCAGTGGACTAATCACACACCCATGATCACCTCTAAAAGCCCCGCATAGGAGCTCATGAGCCTTTGGGGTGATATCTAGATAAAAACCATAACCCCAGTTTCCTCTGCTGCAAATAATGTCACAGTAGCAAAGTAACTGCTTCACACTTGGTGGAATATTTTTCTAAGATAAGTTCTAGAAGCAGTATGTGCTGCAGTTAATTAGTTTGTCTGGGAACCACTCCCAACACCCTACATGCTGGGACAAATTCCAGGTGCATTGATCCTTTCTCTCCCTCCCTCTTTTCCCTTCCCAGATACTTTCATGGTGGAAGATGCGGTGGAAGCCATTGGGTTTGGAAAGTTTCAGTGGAAGCTGTCTGTGCTCACCGGCTTAGCTTGGGCAAGTATTTCTGGGGTACAGTGGCCTCACATTCACCTTCAAGGAACCCTCCCACCCCCTGCTGATCAACTGGGTTCCTGTGGCTTATGAGGAAGGACACAGCTGTCTTCCTGGAGAATCTGCCCGGATTCCCGAAGACAGTTTATGTGGGGCGATGAGTGGTACTAATCAGGGTGGGTGGTTGGAGGGAAGTGGGTGTGGCTGGTGATTATGCCAAGGATGGAATGGGAGCTTCTAGCTAATTAAGCCGTTCTCTGCCCTGAGGGGTCAGGGCTGCTATGACATTATGATACCACTTGGGAAACTCTCCCTGAAAAATAGACAAGAAAATTTGCCTTCTGGGTTGAGGGTGTAATTCAGTGGTAGAGTGCTTTGCCTAGCATGCGCAAAGCTCTATGTTCAATCCTCAGGACGTCTAAATAAATATATAGGCTGGTCGTGGTGGTGCACCCCTGTGATCCCAGCACTTCCAAGGCTGAGGCAGGAGGATCCCTCAAGTTCAAGGCCAGCCTATGCTACATAGTGAGTTCAAGACAAGCCTGAACTGCATAATGAGACAAACAAATGGTTTAAATTTTTCCTTCTACTTTAAGATGCTCATAGCCTTTGTTAAAATCCCTTATGTGGTTGTGGCAAATAGTACAGGTAGACCCTTAATCCAGCTGAAATTGATTTTCATGAATTGTGTGGGACAGCCATCTAACTGCACATTTGTCCAAACAGATCATCAATTTCCCCACACTGATCCTCTCATGAATTTGAAAAGCACCTTTGTTGCATATCTTGTTCCCGTGGTGGCAGTATGAGTCTGCTTTTAAATTGTCTCTTTTTTTTTTTTTCTTTTGGTACCAGGGATCAAACTCGGGTCCTTGTGCTTGCAGGGGCAGGCAGCAGAACCACTGAGCTAAATTCCCAGGCCCTAAATTCTCATTTTTTATTATTCTGTCTGGCTGGTCCTGTAAAGTCAAAGATATTTAATTACTGGGGCTTCCTAGTATGTTTTAATATATGAAAAGGTCATGTTTATTAAATATACTGATTATTAATTCTACATGAACAAATGACCTACAAAACAAAGACAAACTAGTCTTTAATTGCACCAGAGAAGAAAGATCATTGTCTCTCTATCTCCGTGAGACTGTTTTGTTCAGACCTTTGAAATATGATGTCTTCCCTCTTCTTTGAGGAGGGCCTGTATTTTTGTAAATATGGGGAAACACAAAGAACACTGGATGACTATTTGTTGATTCTTGTGTGGTAGCACTGGTCTAACCACTGGGGCTCTCCAGGTTTGGATGTTTGGAGAGCTCTGGGCGGTGAAGGATTTGCTGCACGCTCTCTGGGGTTGAGGGCTTGGCCAGCTGTCCCCACTCTGGGCACCACCCTGGCCTCATGGTGTCCCCTTCCCTCTGCAGATGGCCGATGCCATGGAGATGATGATCCTGAGCATCCTGGCTCCACAGCTGCACTGCGAGTGGCAGCTCCCCAGCTGGCAGGTGGCATTGCTGACCTCGGTAGGTGACTCCTTCTGCTTCTGCACGATTTGAGTCCCTGGTGTCCTGCAGGATGTCCCCCTCCTGCTGCAGCCAAGAGCTCAGCAGACAAGAATCGAGTCCTGGATGGAAACACCAGGACCTCAGTTCCTTCCATACCCTGTGCATCTCACTGACCCTGCAGGTTATGGTAGCAGCCAGCTCTGCCCCTCCCAGAGCTCCAACTGCTTGAGGGGCTACAGACACAGTCTCTATTGCTGGAAACTTGCAACCCAGCTGTGCATATCCCTTAAACTTTACAAGCCTCCCTTTTCCCCAACTCAAAAAGGAGATGCCAACTTCCTTAAGGGGAGTGAGGACGAGCCCTCAACTGCTATCTGGGGGAGCTCACCAGCAAGCATTTAAAAGGGAGGACCATGGCCTGGCCAGACAGAAGGATAATAGTGATAATCACAAAAGCTACTATTTACACAAAAGCTGTGCACAGGGCTTGAAGCACATTGGATACAATGTATGTGTAGTCTACACTGTGCCTTTTAATCCTCCAGTCCCTCCCTCAGACTTGGTACTATTATTAGTACACACAGAGCCTAGCTCAAGGCAAGGGTGGGGGAAATAGTCCTTTCTTCTAATCCTGGCTGTCACAGATACCTGCTAGAGAGGTGCTGCAGGGCTGTTGGTTTTTGTGGTTCTGGAGCTCAAACCCAGGAGTGCACTACCTTTGAGCTACATCCCCAGCTTGCTAGATTGCCCTTGGTGGGAACTTCCAATCTTCCTGCCTCAGCCTCCTTGTCAGCACTTAGATTACAAACATGGGCTATCCCTCCCAGCTAGGTCTGTGTTTTTTCAATACAGGGACTTTCTGCTTTCTCTGTCCCTGTTTTTAACAGCCACAATTTGGGGTGGGGATGTAGCTCAGTAGTAGAGCACTTGTCTAGCTTGTGCAAGACCCAGGGTTTGATACCAAGTACTGCAAAACAAACAAATAAAACCCTCACAATTTATTGAGGAGTTATCATGTGCCAGGCTCTGGGCCAAGGGTTTTACATATGATAAGGAAACTAAGGATTAGAGATGTTTAGTGGCAAATCTACTCTGGGTCACAAGGCCTAATTTAATCCAGAACTGGCAGATCCCAAGCCACTGCTCTGGGTTACTTAGGGTATAAAGTCTGGAGCCACACAAAGTTTCCTGTGAGGAAGTTGGAGTGGCGCTGCAAGAGTTTGTCTAAGGAGATAAGTATACAGGGAGGATGCGACATTCGTGTCACTGTGACCAGAGGAGATGCTGGCATTGGGGCTGAAACTCTCCTTTGGGTGAAAATGTGTTTGGTTGGGTTTTTTTTAAAGGATGGGGATTGATATTTAACTCTTTTGGGTGCATATGATTAAGGACACATTTTACTTCATGACAATCATCTTTGAACACTTTTATTCTAAGAAATCTAGGAAGGAATTGAGTAAAACCTATGCAGCTCCCAGGACTCTGGAATGCTCTTAAATTGAAATGAATTTTTAAAAAATTGTAGGTTGGGGCTAGGATTGTAGTTCAGTAGTACAGTGCTCGCCTAGCAGGCTAAAGTCCTGGGGTCTAATTCCCAGCACTGCAACAAAGTTAATAAATAAAAATTTTTTAATTAAAAAAAAAGGAAATTGCAGATTGTATCATTTCCAGTGCACTTAAATATTAAAAAATTAAATTAAATCATCATATTACTTCTAAAACTTCATCCAATGGAATTGAAATACTTATCTGGTGCTCACCATAGTTTGTTTAAAAATATCATGAATTGCTAGGCATAGTGGTACAGTCCCGTCATCTCAGCAATCTGGGAGGCTGGGGCAGGAGGACGGCAAGTTTAAACCCAGCCTGGGCAACTTAGGAACTTAGCAAGACACTGTCTCAAAATAAAAATTAAAAATTTTAAAGAGATTAGAGATTGGGCTGGGGATTTAGTTTAGTGGTTTCGCCTCCTGCTGCGCAAGCGCAAGGACCCGAGTTCGATCCCTGGTACCCCCCCCCAAAAAAGATTGGGGATGTACCTCAGTGTGAAGGCTCTGGGGTCAATCCTCAGTACTGGAAAAAAGTATCATGAATAAACTCTTCAGAAGAATTTTGAAATTTTGCACTGTATTATTTTCTTCTGGAAATGGCATTTCTATTCCATTTCTCACTGTAATTTTAACTTCATGTAATGTTTTCTTATGCTAGAAAATGTCACATTCATCACCCTATCATAATCTCTATGACAAAATTTATAAATATTAAATTACTATTTCTAATTTTCTGAGATGAGACGGCTCTAACTATTAAAATGTTTCTCCTGCACTGCATTATCATTATAATTCTTAGTGGTATACCACAAGGTCAACACAAGACAGAATTAGTTTTGACAAGTCACTATTAAATAAATAAATTAATTTTTATAGGGAATGAGTCCCTTAATGAGAGGAATGGAATGTCTGCCGAATATTTCATGCATTCTTGAATGATTACTTATTGCTCGAGTGAAACAGGATTTGTGTTCCTTCTCGCCGTGTCCTAAAGCTTTTACACAGCAAAGCATTTTGAGGTGCACTGGTAAGACTAGCAAAGAGAGCAGTGGGGAGCAGTGGTGGTGGTGGAGGAGGGAGAGAGAGTGGCCGGAAACCGATCACACCCCTAACTTGGTCCTGGGAAAGAGCCCCTAAGGAAGCTGGGGACTTGGGAATTAATTCCTTTAAGATGACCCATGTCTGTCTCTTCCTTGGAAAGCCGCTGGGCACAGTTGGCCTTCCTTTTTTACTTAGTCTTTGCTGTGCTGGGGATGAAACCCATGACTTTACACATGCTAAGCAAGAGCTCTACCACTGAGTCCCAAGTTGGCCCTACTTATCAGCAGGCTCTGAATTCATGGATTCCATCAACCACAGACAGCAGATATAAGAAGAGAAAAAAATTTATCTGTACTGAACTTGTGCAGACATTTTCTCCTTATCATTATTCCCTAAACAATACAGTATAATGACTTTTACATAACACATTGTACTAGGGATTACAAGTCATCTAGAGATGGTTTAAAATATACAGGAAGATGTGCGCACGTTACAGGCAAACACTAAGCTATTTTACATAAGAACTCGAGCATCCACAGATATGGTGTCTACAGGGAGTGCTGGAACCCATCCCCGTAGAGGTGAAAGGGCAGACTCCTGTGTAGCCGCCAGCCCTAGGACTTGCCAGGAGCAACGCTTCTGGGAAGGGGCGGAGCTGAGGCAAGGCCTTCCGGTCTCTGGGCCTCACTTGCCCTACCTGGAAAATTGGGATGAAAACAGCGCCACCTTGTGGGGCTGTGTGAGGTCTAGGTAAGATGCGTGCAGAAAGCGTTTAGCCCTTAGTGAGGGTACAGCCCAGGTTCAGACCCTGTCAGCCTGCTTGCTTTTAAGACTTATCCTTACCCTCTCCTCTTGGGGACACTGAGCCAGTTCTTAGCCTGTGTGAGCCTCAGGGTCCCATCCATCAAATGGAGGTGATCGCGCAAACTCGATCAACTCCATTAATCGGAGGATTAATGATGTAACCTTTACAACTTTGCCTGGCACAGCCAGCAACCTGAGTGGCCTGTGCCTCCTCCCCAGCCCAGCCCATGCTGGGGGTTGAACCCCGGGCCTTTTGAATGCTGGGCAAATGCTAGACAGTGGTTTCTCTTACTCGTGGCTTGCAGCTCCTCCCATCCCCATTTCACAGCTTCCAAACTGGATCTTGTAACCCTTGTTCTTTTCTTTTCTTTTCTTTCTTTCTTTCTTTCTTTTTTTTTTTTTTTTTGTTCCGGGGATCAAACTCGGGTCTTTGCGCTTGCGCAGCAGGCGGCTAAACCACTGAGCTAAATCCACGGCCCCCTTGTTCTTTCTTTTCCCTCCCTCCCTGCTTTCCTTCTTTTTCCCTCTAGTACCATGGTTTGTACCTGGGCATTTTCACTGAACTACATCCCAAGTCCTTTTTAATTTTATTATTATATATTTAAAAAAATATTTTGAGACAGTGTCTTACTAGGTTGCCCAGGTGGGACTTGAACTTGCCATCCTCCTGCCTCAGCCTTCCAAGGGCTAAGATTATAAACATTTACCATCACACCTGGCCCTTGATCTTTTCTCAGCACTAGGGCAAGACATTTCTTTGTTGTAGTGAGGAGCTGGCAAAATCCTAGCTCTGGAGCCAGACCGCCTAATTCCAGTCCAGGCTGTACTTCTTGGTGTTTTTCCTTTTCTGAGCCTTAGTTTCCTCAACTGGAAAATGAGGATAACAACAGCACCCACCCCGTGTGATCACTGGGAGGCTCGGGTGACAGTACACAGAGCCTAGAATAGTGTTTACACTGTGTCCGGTTGGCAGAGGATGTTGGCTCATCAGTGTTGCTGGGTCGGGCACCCTAAGTTTGATTTGCTGCTCCCGTTTTCCTTCTCTGAGTGGCTAACAAACTGTTCCCACCCACAGGTGGTCTTCGTAGGCATGATGTCCAGCTCCACGCTCTGGGGGAATATCTCTGACCAGTACGGCAGGAAAACGGTAAGGCAACCTTGTCTTCTAAGCGCGCACCCTCCAGGTTCTCGCCAAGGTGCTGTTTCAGGTAGCAAAACCTCTGTTGCTGTAGTAGTTGGGGAGCAGAATGAGGAGTGGTGCTGGAGGACAGTGAGAAGACCTTGCTGCAAGGCCACTGTGGACTCTTCCAATCATGGAGCCTGACCATGAGCTTTTCAGAATGTAGATGATGCTGTTGGTGCCAAGTCATATCCCCTGGACATTCGCCAGTCCCTCACACGAGGCTGGGGCAGGCAAGGGCTGGTGGATGGCAATCCCAGCAGGGATGTACTCCTGGATGGAGCTCACCAAGGCACTCCAAAGTTTCTGCCCTCCTCAGCCTGTCTCACCTTTCCACCCCCAGCTAGGATCAACACCTAAATAAGCTGTTTGTGTTTGGATCTTTATCTCGGGGTCTGCTTTTAGGGGGAGCCCCTGATGTAACAGGAAATAGATTTGCAATAGGAGGAAGGGAATTTACAGGTCTGGTATTCAATGGAGCCCTTAGAGTTTCACTCATTTGTTACCTTCTCAGCTTTGGATGGTAGCCTTTGTAGTTTACACTGCTCTTGTTTTACTCCGTTGAATTTGGGTCTTTGATTCTTTCAGCATAGGAAGCTACTGTCCTCCTTACCGTACAAATGGGCCTTACAGGCGTAAAGAGCTCTAACTCATCATTCCTATGACCGTGCGCCTTCTGTAATTACGCTCTCTGACTGCTTGACATTCTCTTTCTGGGACTCTTCCCACCAGCCTGCAGTTTCTCCAGAGGCAGCGTGATGTAATGATTGTGCTTGAAATCATGTAGACGGGGTTCAGCCCTAACCTTGCCACTCTTGAGCGTGTGACCTCATGCAAATGTACTGATCTCTCTTTTTTTTTTTTGTACCGGGGATAGGACTCGGGACCTTGCACTTGTGGGGCAGGTGGCGAAACCACTGAGCTAAATCCCCGGCTTGATCTCTTGATCTCTTGAGCATCAATTTCCTCATAATACAACCCACACTGGAGGGTAAATGGAGGGGATGGGGTGAGTTGTTCTGTACAGTGCCAGGCACAGGATGGGCACTGAGCTGGGGCAGCAATGACAGCATTTTTATCAAGTTCCCAGGTGATGTCGATGCCATTGGTCAGGGACCACACTTTTGAGAACTGTTGGTTTAGACCAATAAAACTGTACTCTTGGAGCTGCACAACAGGCAGACACCTAAATAAACTTATAATTCTGTTAGGAAGGCAGAAGGGAGATATGGGTGTTAGACAGGTAACAGACAGTCATAACTATAACTAGCATGTCATACTTTGAAAAGAAAATAGTGCCTTGTGTATTGGGCACTACCCCAGGCATGATTCAGGCACTAGCTCATCAAATCCCCACAATAACCATCGAAAAAAATATTTGTTTGAGACAGGATCTTTCTATGTAGCCTAGGCTGTCCTTAAACTTGAGACCCTCCTGTCTCGGCCTCTCAAGTGCTAGAATTACAGGTGTGCACCATCGTGGCCAGTTTAAAATATGAAATTTTTTGAGTGCTAATATGAGGCTAGAAACATTTTGGAGGATTTCAGATTTTGGATTTTTAGATTAAAGATACTTAACCAGTAAAATCTGTGCAAGTATTTCAAAATCTGAAAAAGTCCAAAATATGAAGCACTTCTTGTCCCAAGCCTTTTGGGTAAGGGATACAGAAGCAGAATAATTACTCTGACTTTTGGAAGAGGAAAGCTGAGGCACAGAGAATTGGCAGCTGGCCAAGGCCATGGAGTTTGCCTGTCACAGAGCCAAGTCTTGATCTGAGCTCAGATCCTTCTCTTAGGCATGACACTAGTGGCTTCAGTCTGTAGGTGCTTGGTACATTTATGTTGGCTCATGGTAGCTCACACCTGTAATCCCAGCACTTCAGTGACAGAGGCAGGAGGTTCACTGCAAGTTCGAAGTCAGCCTTGGCTACATAATGAGTTCAAAACCAGCCTGAACTACATAGCAAGACCCTGTCCAAAAAAAAAAAAAAATCATAGACAGGTTTTCAGTAATGGCATTTACTGAATTTTGTGAACAGTAGTCATATTTTGGCACCTTCTAGAACAGAGGTTCTCAACATGGGGGAGGGGAGCACTTGATAATGTCTTAGAGACATTTTTGGCTGTCACTACTAGGGGGCGGGCTCTACTGGCATCTGGTGAGGGGAAGCCAGGAATCCTCCCCAGTATCCTAGAGTGCAGAGGACGGCCCCTCAGGCCCAGATGGTAGCAGTGCTGAGGCTGAGTGCACGCATGTGCAAATGATGCTGAGTGGCAATTTTATGAAGAGTTAATCTTCATCCTCTTTCTCCATCTCTGGAACTGCCCAGCCGTTATTTCAATACTTACCTAAGTGGCTCATCTTGACAAGTGAAGCGATAACATATCATTGTGAAAAGCACAGGCTGGCGCCACCTTGCTTGGGTTCAGATCTCAGCTTCTCCACTCCTATGCTGCATGGCCTTGGGCAAGTTATTCAGTCTCTGAGCCTCACTGTTCTCATCTGTGGGTGGGTTAACAATGTAGGGCTGTTACAAGGAATAAATGGCCTTGCACAAAAGGCTCTTGGCATAGAGAAGTTGCTTCATAAATGTCCACTATAGCAGGTGTGGTGTGTATACCTGTAATCCCAGCCTCTCAGGAGGCAGAGGCAGGACAACTTAATGAGATCCTATTTCAAAATGAAATAACAAGTGCTGGGGACCCTAAATAAATGTCCATTCTATTCCTACTGTTTGTCACTCTTGTGGTACCCATTAATGGCAAGGCAACATTAAAATACAGGTGCATCTGCCTTCAGAGTCCTTGTCCTTCACCTTGACCTTGGCTGCTGGGAGTCTTAGCTGAATTAGTGCCCAGAATTCAGCTGCTCATTGGACATTTATCCATCCCAAACAGAAGAAGCGGGAGAGGGGCTCCCCATAAGGTGTCCCACCTGACCACCTGGCAAAATTCCACACCCTGCATGAAGCTGGGGTGACCAGAAGGAGAGGAGAGAGCACCCCAGATTACAGGGCTCCTCCCCTCAGCATGGACTCCTGGCACAGCCTCGGGGAGCAGGGACCAGAGTGTAGTTAGAAAGCTTTCTCCGAGCTCCTCCGGAGCCGGGCTCACCAGGCAGCTGGCCAGCCTCAGCAGCCAGAGACTCTCCCAATCCGACCTGGCCTAGCTGGGAGGCTCTGAGAGGGCTTCTGCTGTGTGACTTTGCTGGGCAGTCTCACAGGGGCTGGGCTTCTGATTCCTGCAGAAGTTTCTACAGCCTAGGAATTCGTGGCAGCCATGGAAAGGGGAAGATGACCGTGATCCTGAAGCCAGGGTGATGAACACACCTCGGTTCATGACCCAGTGCTCCCCTATTGAGCAAGGTAACCTAGGGCAAGTTCCTTCACCTCTCTGGGCCTCAGTTTCCCCAACTGCAAAATAGAGTTGATAACAAATGCACAAAATGTTGTTGGGGAGATTCAATAAGAAAATGTATGTATAGTTCCAACACCTGCCTCGCAAGCACAAGGTCCGGAGTTGGATCCCGGTACCAAAAAAGAAAAGAAAAAAAAGAAAATGTATGTAATATATTTAGGTGTTTGCTGATATATGGTTCGAATGTGATAAATGGTAACTTATTGTTTGGGGCTTGAAGGAAAAAAAAACTTCAGAATATGATATGGTCAGGTCACTAGCTACTTCAAAACCGGGGTGTTATGATGCATGCCTGCAACTGCAGGCTGAGAGAGGAGGACAGCCTCAAATTCAAAGTCACCCTGGACCACATAAGGAGACCCTGGCTCAAGAAAACAAAACAAAACAAGAGGGGCCGGGGATTTAGCTCAGTGGTTCCACAGCCTGCCTCGCAAGTGCAAGGACCCCAGTTCGATCCCTGGTACCAAAAACAAAACAAAACAAAAACAACAACAAAAAAAACAAGAAAAAAGATCTTAGATCCATGTTATCTTTAATGAGAAAAATGAGGTACCTGGCAGGCAGTGGGACTCTATTTCTGAGGATCCCTGGGTCTCCATGGCCTGTGAATGTTGTCCTTGTCATTGGGAATGGAGAACACCATGGCACACAGCTGGCACACATGTCACCGGGCTTTCTAGGGTACAGATTGCAAACTGGACACCTGTGGCCAAATAGCCTCTCCACCCACATGTTTTTGTTTTTGGTCCTAGGGATTAAAAGCAGGCCTTCAAGCATGCCAAGCACATATTCTACCACTGAACTGTACCTCCAGCCCTGTGTTTTATTTATCCCTCACAATATTTTATGGGATTTTAAAGCCAGTTGTCTGCATTTCAAAAAATGACATATTTTTGCATTAAAAATGAACAAAGCATGGTTTTTCTTAAAAACTGGGTAATGTGGTACCCAACTGGGTCCCATTTTGTGTCATGATAATTTTTGGCTGGAGCCAAGCAGGGGTCCTTGCTGTATTACACCTGCATGGTGCCTTTGTGCTCTTGGCCAGAGGTAATGGGGAGCCATCAAGGACCCTGGAGGAGGGGAGCAGCTTATTCAAAGTTTAGCCCTTAGGGCTAGATGCACTGGCTCCAGGTATGGCTCTCCCAGGGACTAATTTTGACCAAAGCACTCAACTACGGCCCTTGCTGTGCTCATTTGTAAAGCAGAAATAAAAACAATCTCTTTCCACAGGGTTGCTGTGAGGACCCAGTGTCATGATGTGACAGTGATTTTAAAAATGCAAATGAAAATTCCATTAAGTCAGAGACTCTGCAACGTCCTGTTTCCTGCTGTAGCCCGGTGCCTAGCAAATAGCAGATATTCAATATGTACATAGTGTATGGATGAAGGAATGAATGAATACTATGTATCCATGCCTCTACTGCCAGGCACACAGCAGTTACATAATACATTTATTTTGAACAAATGAATGAATAATATGTTTGTTTCTAGTGCCAGGCACATAGCAGGTACTCAATACATGCATATTGAGAAAATGAATGAATGAATAATATTTATCAGTACTTCTAGTGCTAGGCACACAGTAAGTGTTCAATACATGTATACTGAATAAATGAATGGATAAATGAATGAGTGGATAATATCTATCAGTGTCTGGTTTATAGCAGGTGCTCAATACACACTGAAGGAATGACTTCTTCAGTGAACAAATGAGTGAATGGATAATGTCTATGTATCTATTTCTGCAGCCAACACAGTAGGGCTAATACATATGGAAGGCGGGCTGGCAGGCAGGGGCTGTCAATCTATAAAGGGCAGATCAGCGGTAAGCAGAATAACAATTGTATTAAGGAGAAAGCCCTGTGAGGCATTTCTGCAGAATCTCAGAATATCTCCATGACAGCACTTATACATGGCTGCTGAGTCCTTGTTTTCTGGGCAGCTAGGAAGCCTGGCATCATCAGGCCAGTGCAGAGCCAGCTGCAATCTGTTGTGCCCAAATGGGACAGGCGAGAGTGCCTGCCTTTGGGGATGGAAAATGTAGCACATGACAGCCTTTGCAGGAGGCCCAGCCTCAGTGCCCAGTCATGGTGCCCTCTTCTCTCCCTCTCTCCTCTTCTCCTGCTCTGCTTCTTTCCTCCTGTTTTCTCTGCTGTTAATTACAGCCAGTGTCTGATTTAAGAATCCTTAGGTTCCAAGGAAGAGAATCCCTACGAAATTAGCTTAAGCCCAGGGCTGGGGATTTAGCTCAGTGGTTCCACTGCCTGCCTCACAAGTACAAGGTCCCAAGTTCTACCCCCCGTACCAAAAAAAAAATTAGCTTAAGCCCAAAGAACAGAATTAAGTATTTATGTGGCAAGAACCAATCTCAGTAATGGGTTTATGGTACAGAAACAATCCTTTCTTATTTTTGCTTCCTGGACTTCAGTAATTCCTGTCTAGCTATTCTTTCATTGTCTCCCTCCTTCCCTCCATCCCTCTCCCTTCCTTGCTAGTGCTGGGCCTCAAACCGAGGGCCTCACACATGTTAAGCCAGCCCTCTGCCAGAGCTCCAGCCCAAGCCCCTATTGGTAGCTCTCTGTAACACAGGGCCCGTGCTATCTGGAGGTGCTGAGAAGCCTTCGTGATTCCATGTTTTCCTCCTCTTCAGGGTCTGAAGATCAGTGTGCTCTGGACTCTCTACTACGGCATCCTCAGTGCTTTTGCACCTGTGTATAGCTGGATCCTGGTGCTCCGAGGCCTGGTGGGGTTCGGGATTGGAGGGGTCCCCCAGTCGTAAGTAAATACCCAGCTGTGGTGATCCAGCCAGGCAGCTGGTCAACTGCAGCCTACCCTCTGCATCTGTTGGTTGTGCATCCTTGAATTAAAAAATATTTGGGGGGGCGGAACCCTGCAGTTGTACCAAACACAAGGGCCTTTTTTCCTTGTCATTATTCCCTGAACAATGAGGTATAACAGCTGTTCACAAAGCAATGATGTTGTATTATATGTAAGCTGGAGATAGTTTGAAGTATACGGAAGAAATTTCATAGGATCTGCGAAATACAGCCTCATTCTGTATAAGGGACCTGAGTGTCCTCAGATTTTGGTATCTGGGGAATGTCTTAGAACTGATCTCCTGTGGAAGCAGAGGTGGTTGTACGTCTGTTCCTGGCCTCGGGGATTGGTGATGCTACATCACAGCTTCAGGTATCAGGAGCTAAACTCTTAGCAAGAGAACAGCACTCTTATCAGTATTGTAATGATTGTTAACAGTAACAACACAAAAGCTGGAAGGGTTTCAAGTGAAATAATAAAAATAACAGACCTAGCATGGATTGGACATTTCACCTGGACACATCACAGCAACCCAGGAGGAATATACTATTGTGTCATTGCACTCTGCACTTTCCAGTTGAGGAAACTGAGATTCAGAGGGTGCCCTCCAAGTTATTCAGTGTGTGAACTCGGGAATAAGAACCCGAGTTTGTCTGCCTGAAACATTTGGCGCCTCAGCCACCATGAACACATCCTCCCATCCCTCTGACCTGAACATGAGGAAAGTGAGAATTGTGTCCACTGTATATAAGCTGGGGTGGCTTTGTTGTTGCTGCTGTCATTTAAGGTGCTGAGAGTAGTCAGGATTGTAGAGGGGTCAGGAAAGACTTTCATTTGTTCTGGGTCCTAAAACAGGGATTGGCAAACTATAACAGGAGGACTGAATCTGTTTGACCAGGTTTGTAAATAAAATTTCATTACAACATACCACACCTTTCATTTACCTATTACTGTATCTAGGACTGTCTGTGTGCTACAGTAACAGAATCAAATATTATATGGCCCAAGTAGAAAAAGTATATTGGATTCCCCCAAAAAGAAAATAGCCCATGTTTAGTGCTTACAGTTGAGGCAGCTGATGTTCTAAACAATTCACCTAGAGTCTCTTTTAATCCCCCCTTTTCCCTATAAGGCAGGTTTTATTAGTAACCTCATTTTACAGAGAAAGAGGAACAGAGAGGTAAAGTAAATTGCTCCAGAGCTGGAGTACGAACCCGGTCCCTCTAACTCCAGAGCCTGGGTTCTGATCATTGCATTTTACTGCCTTGCTATTAAGAATGTAAATAATTAGGGCTTGGGGAAAATGTGAACTATTTCATAGGAAAGGGACAGCATGAAAAGAGACAACTGTAGTAGAGTTTGAGGAAGGCTACTGATCCAGCTTTGGCTAGCTATATGGATGAAACCTATGAGAAATAGAGGCTGAGGTTGGACAGGTGGACCGGGGTAAGCTTACTAAAGGCTTTGAATGCCAGGCCAAAGGGTTTGTCTGCAGATATTGGGGAGCCACTAAGAGTTCTTGAGCAGGGGAGGTACTTAAGTATATTAATCTAAGTTGTGGGTAAGATGGTTTGGAGGTAAAGAATTCTACTGTGATAATTTAGGGAGATTTTGAGAGGATCAGATAGATTCCTAGTACTTTATTCTTTTACTTAGCTAGCCCTTATTGCTTGAGCATCTATGATGGCACAGGGCTATGCTGGATGCTGGGGCTAGAGCAGTGAGCAAGAGCGACATGGCCCCTCGGGTAGGACGGTGTGACAGTTAAGATGGATTGTCAACTTGATCAGCTTGGGAGCTACCTAGGGAATTAGTAAAGCACGCTTCTGGGTGTGTCTGTATGGGTTGTGGAGGTGTGACCTTGGGGACTGTATCTGGTCCCGTCCCCTTATTCTGTGGCATCATTTCCCTGCTCTGCTTTCTGGCTGCCATGAATTGAGCAGCTTTTGCTCCACCCTGCTCTTCCATCATGATGTTCCTGCCTTGGAGCCAGCTGACCATGAACTGAATCCTCTGAGACCATGAGCCAGATTATGTGGGTGCCGGATGTTTTGCTCAGCAATGGGAACACTGAATCAGACAAACACTCTGAAATAGAGACTGGCATGCAGGTGGTTACTGGAATCAACACCTGTAAGCAAGTAAGAAAAGTGGGAGCATACAGGGGAAGGAACTACAATGACATTGACATAAGTTACTTAAAAGTACCTACCCTGCTCAAGAACTCTCAGCGGTTCCTTACCTTTGACCTGGCATTTAGGACAATTAACAAGCTTCCCCTGGACTACCTCTATAACCCAAGCTTTCAAATCTCATGGATCTCATCCCTATAGGTAATCAAAACTGGACCAGTAGCCTTCCTTAGGCTCATCTCCTCTGGGCATTGTCCTGTCTCCTCTTTCCATGCAGTTCCTCCTACCAGATATTCTCCTATTGGGGTTCAGAAGCTGGATGGCCCTTCAGAGTTGTTCTCAATAAAGCAAGGGACTAGAACTTCTTACCCTTACACCAAGCAGTCACTGGCTAGGGGCTGCCCCTAAGGAGGAGCATGGTCTTGGGCAAGGCAGCTACACTGGGCCAGTTCCTGCAAGGGACCCAGCTGCGAACTTTTAGCAGGCAGCACTCCTGGTCTTTCCTGAGGGATTGAAATGTCTCACTTGCTTCGTTCACTCAGCCACCACAGTCCACCCCTTGCATCTCGTGGATCAGTGTGCTTTATGGCAGGATTTCACCCCGCCCAAGAATAGTTCCTCCAAGATTCTGGCTGGTCTCTTCCTGTACACACTTACACAAGGATGGTTGTGGGATAAAGCAGGCCCTGCTATTGTTGCTGGCCTAATGACTGTAAATGATGCCTATTTTCTCTCTCTTCTGTCACCCATTGTAGATTTTCCTTACCTTTGGCTAGCACTTCTGCTGATTTAGATGGTTCACCTCATGGGGAGACCTAAGACCCCATGCCCGAGGGATCTAAGTCCCTGGTCACCATGCTTTCTCAGGCGGTGACTGTTGTACTCATCTGAGGGGCAATCCTGATAAATGTTCTGGGTATTACCTAGGTGCCCTGATTAGGTAACAGTGGCCCTACCTGCTCCTGGTGGTTAAGATCAATTTCTGACTGGTGAATGGTGACTTCCTTTCTTGTTTGCTTATTTCTTGACAAAAGGAGCCCAAAGTTACTGGATGGGAGCTCTTACTTAAAGTGTAATGGGGTGCTTCCCCTGATGGAAGCTTCCATCTCTGGGAGCCAAGACTTCTAGGCCTATAGATCTTAGAAGATGCAGGAAGTGAGGTACACACAACTCCCCCAAGGGGTCACTGACAACAATGGCAATAAAGGCCACTCTTACTTCAATACCTGGATTTCCAGACCTATATATTCTTTGTATTGGAACATAGCCACAGAGTGGTCACTGGTTGAAGAGTGTGCTGTGCTCTGCAAGGCAGTGTTCCATTCTCAAAGGGCACTATCTCCACACTGATGCTTTGGCAGCACCTGCAAAAGGCTGTTCTATTGCTCTCAGTGCAGCAGCTTTAATGTGTCATAGTGTAGGGGAATGCAGGACCAGTAGCTTCCATGGTCATGTATCCACTACTACTCTCTTTTGGGGGAGACTGGGGAAGATACATGTAAAGTGCCCAAGACAATGCCTGGAAGAACACACAATGTAAATTACCAAGTATCTGGAGCTGGGTGTTGTGGTCCACCCCTGTAATTCCAGTACTCAGGAGGCTGAGGCAGGAGGATCGCTGCAAGTTTGAGGCCAGCCTGGGCTACATAGCAAGACCCTGTCTCAAAAAATAAATATAAACAAATAGACATCTGATCCATTGAATGCTTTGGTAAGAAGTTCAAGTGTCAGTGTGACGAACAATGGACACAGTGTGTGATTCTGTGACGGGGAGGAGATGTGACCACATGGATTTAACACACAAGCAAATCTCCCAGATCCTCCTGCCACCTGGAGGGACACTGTGACACTGTCAGTACTCCTAAATTGTTCTCACCCTTCTTTATGATTGCTGCTTCCAGGACTGCAACATAAGCAACTGATATATTCTCCTGGATCTGAAGTAGACTTTAAAACCACTGGAGCGGAGCTTGAGTCAGAGACCATTAACAGACCCGCATAAATCCAGGCTGGGAGCGGCTGGTGGCCAATTGCTCCACTTTGGGTGCAAGGCCAGAAATTCCTCCAGACCTGGCCACCAGCCCATTCTTCATGAGCCATTCACTGCCTAAGGTAGTGTTCTCCCAGAGTCTGGAAGATGCATTCTCACAGAAGAGCAGTTGCCTTTTTTTCCTCAAAGACACCAGAAGAAAGAGCTTTCCAATAGTGACCTGGATTTTCTTCCCATTTAAAAAACGAGAAAGGAACTAAATATGCAAAACATCCAAATCAATCCTTGTTCGAGATGGCAGAACCAGATGTGCCATTTCCTATTTCTTCTTACAGCTTTCCTGGAAATGACATAAAAGATACGAGAAACAGAAGGCAGCATTAAGGGTGCCAGAATGCAAGAAAAAGATCTCATCAGATGACCAGAAATTTTGAGAAGCTTCCAAATTCATAAGCAGAGGGGATCACAGGAGCTGAGTAACCAGGGCAGAGAAAGACTGGGTCCCAGATCAGCAGAGGAAAGGGACTCCTCTGCTGGAGTCTGGGAGAAACACCATCCCCAGCGTCCACAAGCACAGGAAGGGAGGAGGGGACACTGGCGGAATAAGATGAAGGACACAGAGCAGCGAGGAGGACCTTTACCCTTACCAGTCTGCTGGGAGGGTCTCTAGCTTGCCTGCCAAAGCCCTCCCCAACATTGTGTTTCCCTGCGATGATACAGAAAAAAAAAACAAACCAACCAGCAACTCAGTTCGTCCCTCAGAGCAGGACTGTGACACTGGGTGTGTATGGATTTCCCCCCACCCACCAAACAAGCCATGCTGCAACAGGGGACAC